GTCAGCTCTGATCCAGCTTTTTTAAAGTTTATTCATTTCAGGGAAAATGCAAAATGTTGCAACATTACTTCACAGAATAATTAATACGTCAACGCTTAAAAGCAATCAGGATAGGTCTGCATGGTATTAAGAAAATATGTGATGCCTGTTAACAGGGTTCAATATTGCAACGATGATATAACTTGTAATTAATGAACCAATTCTTAAATATGCAGTGTTCATGCACAACAATCTGCATACAATAGTTTCTGAATGACTTTAAAACATTGCCCCATAAAACATTATGAYTGTCTAAATACAAAAAAACACCCATTCTCATCAGTTTTCTTTAATGAATAATAAAAGCATCTGAAAATTAATTAATTTTAAGTTAAAACTGAAACTTCAAGTTCTCTCTCTGYAGTTGTCCAACAATTTCTCCACTGACAAAATGGTTGTGATTTGATGTGGTATCTCATGCCCATTTTGTTTATCACACTGATGCTGACAAAATGCATAAATCAAACATTTGAGCCAACCATTTTTTGCAGTTTATGCAGTTTTTTGCGATGTCCCTATGGCACATGCTATTATTGCAATGATGTTAAATTTTCAATATATTGTGCAGCTCTAAAAAAAGGCATTTAAAATATCACATTCTTTGATTTTAAGGCTGAATTTAAAAACCAATAATAGAAAGTATGTATGACTTGCCTCTTTTTGATTGATCTTACTAACAAAAGAAGATCAAATCAGCCAAATAGTCAAGAAAAACATTAAAAAGATCATACATTCCTTGACTAAAATAGTCCTGTGTTGCGAAATGTCAGAGTTGTAGCCCGTTTTTAAAATAAAATGTGTTCAGAGCATGTATTGTGACTGACTCGTGACCGCACCAAATTTTAGCTCAGTATCTGTAAAACTGGCCGAGTTGTAAATTTTTCTTTGTGTAACACATAACTTTGTGGTCTGAGCAGAAAGCATAAGATGCAATGAAAAGGATATTTGGGCCAATAGGTTTGGTTATTGGAGGAGTTCTGGAATGAATGAGAACTCAGACAGCTGTTCATTTTATAGAAAAAAACCATCTTGATTTGTAAAAAATATTCAACAACATGTAAGACAATAAATAGATTAAACAAAAAAATAAAAGTTCTACAATAATCATAATAATTTAAGATCTTTTGTTGTTACGAACAAAAGTCTTAAATTCAGCAGTGTATATACACTTAATCCGAATTAAATCCCTTATCTAATGGGTGCACCCAAAATTTAAAATGGTTAAAATCAAAGGTTACTCACAAATTCAATTAATCACAATCAGTTCAAATGTACAATAGTTTCACCACAAATCACTAACACGAGATATTTAAAGTACTTAAAAGAAATAAGTTAAAGTAAAAAAAAATACCTTAACAGAAAATGACTTTGGTAAAAATGAATTTTATCAATAAGAAAAGTACTTAAGTAAAAGTCATAAAACTGCTTACAGAAATCGGGAAAGTAAAAGTACTTTTACACACGAGATATTTAAAGTACTTAAAAGAAATAAGTTAAAGTAAAAAAAAATACCTTAACAGAAAATGACTTTGGTAAAAATGAATTTTATCAATAAGAAAAGTACTTAAGTAAAAGTCATAAAACTGCTCACAGAAATCGGGAAAGTAAAAGTACTTTTACACACACGCTAAGAAATGTGTTGAATTTACTTATCCAAACTAGTCCCAGTCACATCTAAATTCAAAACGTGTAACTACCGGTAGTGGGTAATAACTTTTAAAGATGTAGAAGTATTATTTTAGATTTTAAATGTAACAAAATAAAAGTAAAAGTTTTGATTTAAAAAATACTTGGTAAAATTACAGATCCTCAAAAAATTACTTAAGTACTGTAGCAAAGTAAATGTACTTAGTTACTATACACCTCGTCTAACAGTGTTACCCTTCTAAAGAGATTTCCCCAACCACAAGTTTGCTTCCTCCATGTGAATGTGCATGTGCAAAGTCAAAAGTCCAAAATTCCAGGTAAGTCTAATTGTCTAAATGTTCTCCAAGGATGTGTGAAAAAAATAAAATAAAATAAAGAGCTGGCAGTTTGAATGAAAGAGGAGGTTCGTTGTAGTGGGCCGATCCCAGGCTGGGCTCGCCATCAAACTCTGGTCCTTGTAGTTCTGGAGTAATGGGGAGGGGTGTGGGGGGACTGGTACATTTGTGTTTCCAAAGGTCGTTTGGCTGTGCTGACCATTTTGAAGGGTTGACTGCAAACATGAGTTAGATGTGTATTCACAATACTTACTTTGTGAACATGTCATTAAAAGTCCATCCAGTGGTTCAGGAGATGTTAACACAGACAATATTGACTTAAAGTTTAAAAAAAAGATATTGCACAATCAGGTTAGAGCTTTGAGTATAATCTGCCAATGATTGCCATCCACCAGCACATCTGATTTAAGCTCCAACTGTAAAAATGACGCATTTTTAGCCATTTTTCGATTTCTATTCCCACTTAGCTGGGGTAGCCATCCTAAATGGGGTTGCTCCAAAAGTAATTCGTTGAAGATGTACACTTAATGATTAATTTCTTAGTTTCATCCAGATTCATCCATTGATTTATGAATTTATTTTCCAACATGACGAAGTTGCACACAGATACGTGCAAAAACATTATTACCCTTTTGCTTTCATTGCCAGGGATAACAATCATATTGGTTAATTTAGCAACTGCAGCAGAAGAATAAACAATAAATACGGTTCATAATTTTATGAAATTAAAATCAAAACTGCACTTATCCATCTTTTTCTAATTCTACATTATTGCAATAATCTGTTGTTTCTGCCAGAAGAGATGATAGCTCCTTGGCATCCTTCTTCTTGTAAATTGGCTCTTATTATTCTTTGCTAGTGACTGTGAATGATGCCAACAACAACAACAGCAGCTCTTGATAACAAACTGAAGTTGTGCAGTAATACTGTTAGCAGAGTGATTTCACACTATTCACAAGCTGCTGCTTGGAGAGGCTCAGACTTGGTACATGATTAAAATATAATAAAAAACCTGAGCCTACATAAGGCGTTTTTTTAACACTTACGTGGTTTTTACAGGCAGATGAATATAATTGCTCATGTGACTTTAATACTCTATATTAAAGCATTTATGCGTTTAGCTTTGTTTTTATTATACCAAAGGGATTAAACTAATCATATTCAGATGCATTTGTTTTACTTTGATTCCAAACACATAAAAAAATGTTCAGTATGTATGATGTCTTTTTTTAATTCATTTTTTATTATGTTTTGACAGGATCTGAGGAATTCAAGGAATGAATGAAAGGACCTACTGCTCATATCACTGCACCAATATTTATTACAACTGAAGATCAGCAGAAGAAAAAGACAATCTGATCCTGTTCTGCGGATCAGTTTCTTTTGGACAAACATAAGTGAACTTTTTCATACAGTGCCTGTTTATAGCAGGATGAGCRTCAGACGGCTATGATGGCAAAAAAGCAAGATGCTCGATCGCCCATTTACAACCTTGTTGTGGTGGGTTTGTCAGGAACAGAGAAAGAGAAAGGGCAGTGTGGGGTTGGCAAATCCTGTTTGTGTAATAGGTTTGTACGACCGAGCGCTGATGATTTCTACCTGGATCACACATCGGTGCTGAGCACCAGTGACTTTGGGGGTCGAGTGGTTAACAATGATCACTTTTTGTTTTGGGGGGAGGTGTCGCGGGTCCTGGAGGAAGGGCCCGAGTGCAGGATGCATGTTGTGGAACAGACCGAATTTATTGATGACCAGACATTTCAGCCGCACCGTAGCACTGCTATGCAGCCCTATATCAAGCGAGCAGCCGGAACCAAGCTGGCCTCTGCAGAGAAGCTCATGTACTTCTGCACAGATCAGCTAGGTCTGGAGCAAGACTTTGAGCAAAAGCAAATGCCAGAGGGCAAACTGCAAGTTGATGGCTTCCTGCTTTGTGTTGACGTGAGCCGGGGCATGAATCGTAACTTCGACGACCAGCTGAAATTTGTCTCCAACATTTATGGTCAGCTTAGCAAGACTAAGAAGCCAATTGTGCTGGTGCTCACCAAATGTGATGAAGGGGTGGAACGTTACATCAAAGATGCACATACCTTTGCCATAACGAAGAAAAGCCTACCGGTTGTTGAGACTTCTGCACGCTCAAATATAAATGTGGATCTTGCTTTCCTCACATTGGTTCAGCTCATTGATAAAAGCAGGGGCAAGCCCAAGATTATCCCTTATTTTGAAGCCCTCAAGCTCCAGAGTCAGCAGATAGCCTCCGCCAAGGATCGCTATGAATGGCTAATTAACCGTATAGTAAAGAACCACAATGAAACCTGGTTAAATGCCAGCCGAAGAATGAACACCTCACCAGAATACAAAGAGTATGTCTTCTTGGAAGGAACAGCTAAATGCAAAAAGCTTTTTCAGCAGCATGTTTACCGTTTGAAGCAGGAGCACATTGAGCGGCGCCGAAAAATATATTTAAGCACTCTTCCTTTAGCACTTAGTTCATTGGTACCAGACCTTGATGAGATCGATCAGTTGAGCTGGTCTGGGGTGCAGAAAGTGCTGGAGTCCAAGCAACATTTTACTCACTGGTTTGTTGTTCTGGAGGATTCACCGTGGGAGGACACATCTCATATTGATAATATGGAGGATGAGCGAATCCCCTCAGACCTACTGGAGACCGCAGAAGCAGAGGACATATTTAATGCCCACCTGGAACATCTTCGGAACGAGTGTAGGCGTGCAGAGATACGACAGGAGTTCAAGCATAAGTTAGCTTCCTCCCCCTTCGTCACACCTGGTAAACCTTGGGAGGAAGCGCGCAGCTTCATCATGAATGAAGAGTTCTATCAATGGCTTGAGGAGCCTGAGTACTTGGACCTGTATAACCGCCATCAAAAAGAGATTATTGATCGTGCTAAAGAAGACTTCCAGGAGCTTCTGCTTGAGTACTCCGAGCTGTTCTATGAACTTGAAGTGGATGCCAAGCCAAGCAAAGAGAAAATGGGAGCGATACAGGAAGTTCTGGGAGAAGAACCGAGGTTTAAGGCCCTACAAAAGCTACCTGCAGAAAGAGATGCTCTTGTGTTGAAACATATCCACTTTGTCTATCACCCCACCAAGGAAACCTGCCCTAGTAGCCCTCACTGTGGAGATTCGAAGATTGAGCAACTCCTAGCTTCACGTTTCCCCACATGTTACCCCTTCTTTGACATGAAAGCTCATATTGGGGACACCAAAGCTGACAGGATTAACCTGGTCATACTAGGGAAAGATGGACTAGCCAGAGAATTTGCCAATGAGATTAGAGCTCTCTGCACAAACGATGACTGGTATGTGTTAGATGGGAAGATGTATGAGTTGACGCTGCGGCCTATTGAGGGAAATGTACGTCTTCCAGTAAATTCCTTCCACACTCCCACTTTCACCCCCCATGGATGTCTGTGTCTGTATAATTCAAAAGAGTCCCTGTCCTACGTGGTGGAAAGCCTTGAGCGACTTAGGGAGTCTACTCTAGGTCGAAGGGATAGCCAGCTGGCCCAACTGCCCACATTTCTTCTTTTAGTCACTAAACGAGGTGTAGGGTCATATGTTGATATAGGTGGAGACACTGCCTTAAATCTAATCACACAGGGACAGCAGTTTGCAAGGAGACTACAGTGTAGCTTTTTAGACCCTGCCTCCCCTGGTGTGGGGTACGGTCATAATGTAAATGAGACACAAATCAACCAGGTGCTGAGGGGTCTTCTAGATGTACGGAGGAGCACATCTTTTAGTAGCAGCTCCCCACCTCTCCTCCCTGAGCCTCCAGGTCTCAGAGACTCTCCTCATCAACCAGTCCAGGAGGCAGACCTACGCATTGTCATGTGTTTAATGTGTGGAGATCCTTATGACATTGAGCAGCTCTTGTCTCCATTTCTAATGCCTCAGCACTGCAGACCTATGTCTAAYAGTGGTACCTCTGTGTTGTTGGAGCAGACAGTGGGTGGACACAAGCTGGCTATAGAGCTCTCTCTGCTCTCATATCATGCCTCCTTCACTTTGCGGAAGAGCAGGTTAGTACACGGCTACATTGCTGTGTACTCAGTCTCCCGAAAAGCATCCCTGGAGACTCTGTGTGCGTTCTTGTGTGAGGTTCAAGACATTATCCCCATTCAGCTGTTGGCAGTAGGAGATAGTCAGGCTGAGCTCACTGACAGTGACTTTGCCTGTGAACAGCAGAGTCAAGGGGAGGAGCTAGCCCATGAGATCGAGGGTCGTTTTAACAGTGTGGTTTGCGGATCTGGAGGTGTGGTGGGAGGTTTGCATAGGATAGAAATGTTCCATTCCTTTCTGATGGAGGTGGTAGAAAAACGTAACATTGTGGAGGCAACACACATGTATGATAATGTTGCTGAAGCGTGCACCAATGAAAATGTTTACTCCCCACGTTGCATATCTCCCAGCCCTGTTACCATGTATGTGGATTCAGAGGATGATGTAGAGCCATCTCCACCATATTATGATGGCACCCTTTCTTCTCACGGAGGAGGTTTCAACCTGCCTGACTTGGATTCCAGTGACATCTCTGTCATCTCAGACATCAGAGACTTTGAAAACAAGCTCAATAACAAAATATCCCCCCAAGTGAGAATTAAACCAGGTGTCACATTCGACTTTCGGAAGGTTAGCCGGAACCCATACGTTGATACGCTGGGTCATCGTCGCTCCCTACCCTCTGCTGTTACCTGGGTCCCTGGTGGGGATGTGGGTTATGACCCCTCAGACTATGCTGAACCCATTGACGCAGTTTCGAAACCTCGCCCTAGCAATGAAGAGATCATCTACTCAGTTCCACATGACAGCACACAAGGCAAAATCATCACTATACGCAACTCCAACCGAATGCATTCAAACGGTAATGGCTCAGACAGCGAAGCAGACAACAGCTCTCTGGAGCGAAGGAGGAAGTTCTCTGCGGTTGGGGTAAAGCCCCGTCTGTACCGGGATCGCTCGAAACGTCTCGGCAAGTTCAGCAGTTTCCGCACAAGCTTCATTGGCAGCGATGACGAAATGGGAGCTCTGTCAAAGTCCAAAGAAGATGACTTTGGGACGTTAAAAGGGGACAGTCTTGTTAATGAGGAGAGTGAGGACCCGAAGAAGAGGAACATACTCAAGAGTCTCAGACGAACAGCAAAGGTGTGTATTGTTCCAAGCRTTTTATTTTGTAAACATAAACTATCAATGGGAAATTGTAGCTATATCTTTGTTATTTTTAAAGCTTTTCCTTTACCAGTGCCCTATTGAAGTAAAGCAGTGATAAAAATTAGCAGCCACCCTAAAGCAAATTAGTATTGACGACATTTCAGTTTAAAACTCATCAAACCCCTTATCTTCATCTCCACAGAAATCAAGACCAAAGCATCGTCCAAGTATTCCTAAACCCATTGAGAGCTGTTACTTCGGAGTCCCCCTGGTGAATGTGGTCTCCCCAGACAGACCTATTCCACTTTTTATTGAGAAGTGTGTCCGCTTTATAGAGACGACTGGTGAGCTCTTTTGTTTTAATCTAAGGTAAAACAGACAATGACCTTTGACAGTGTCGAGGAAATCACACATTTTAAGACCTTAAACATTCAGGTTATACGGTTAAAATAAAAGAACTATAATAGCCCACAGTTCACAATTCCGAGTTTAAGTGCACTGTTACAAAAATGACAGATTTTCAAAATGAGCTGGGAAAATTTTTCTCTCTGCGAACCCGTTCTTGTAGCCTATAATCATTTCCACCGCTCGGATTAAAAAGGATAGTTCAGATTGTTTGAAGTGGGGTTTTGTGGAAAGGTTAGGAACAACCATTATCTTACCTGTATAGAAGGGTTTTTTATACAACTGCAGTTTGAAGGAATAGTGTTTAACTCTGACAAGATTGATGCACTAACTAATTAGTGCGCAGCCACGGCTAAAGTGAATATTTTCCATTTAGTTTCAAATATTTATAGTACTTCATGCAAATACTGTCTGTAAATTTTGTATTWCAAAGTTAATTACATAGAATTCTAAAGTTTTTTGAGTGCTAATAGTAGCAGCTTGCTGTTGCTCTTCTGATGCACTCTTTGGCAGGAATATWATATTTTTGYTGGAATAATATTGYGAGAGTGTTAACAGTGTTTGCTTAAATTGCTATGAAGCTTTTGAGACTGGAGTTGGTAGGAATGTGCTTTAAAATATCAGCTTTAGACAAGCTATTAATGGCTAGCCTAAGCTATCCCTTTAAATGTTTCCTCTGTGTTACAGTGAAAATGCCATTATGCTCAAAATGCTAGATTAAAAAGATAAAATTTAAAAAGCATTTGCATCCATCTTTCAATGTTTAATCTACTGTGTTTGATAATGATTTCATGTTGTATGGCAGGTATGACACAAGATGGATGCTTTGACTTATGGTTGCTGACACAGCTGATGTTTGGGCTTGGTTTTCAATACCCATCCTTGCATTAAAATGTTATCTTTTTCTGTTGGGATCAGTGCTGACTCATTCCTAAAAGTCCTTCAAAGCAGCGATATGGACTTAAATCAGCAGTTACAATAGTAGCTTCTATCCTAATCGYCACAAGCAAGAAGTGTACTGAAAAACCAAACTGCTGCTTAAATTTTCWATCATAGAGCAAGATGAAGGTCACACAATTCACTTCTCATGTTTGAACTGAAAGCATACTCATTGAGTTGACACCCATCAAATATAATGATATCACAGCTTATTTTCAAGTGAAATGCGACTAGAATTTAAAAAAAATATCACAAATGTGTAGAATTGTAATCAGATAGTGAAAATTCTCTGGGTGCTTCGAACATCGGCTTTTTAATTTCTTTTCTAGCTTTCGTGCTGAGCTGACGTGCTGATGACAGATTTTATTTATATCTGTTGCAGAGGCACAAAGGCAAGCTAGAGATTAGAGAAGAAGCCAGTCGCAATGAAGAAGGAGAAATTATGTTACTAAATAGATTTATGGTTTAACTTTCATACCAGCAAAGAGCATGGAAAAGTTTATTTGGAGCTTGGGTAGCGTCATGAGACAGATCTCTATCAGGCAGAGGATTGTCTGAGGCGTTGCATAGAGGATCGGTTTAATAATAGGAATAATAGAGTTTTTGAACTGAAAATGGAGCCTTTACGGTTATTAAACTGTTATCAAAACTGGCATATTTTTCTAAACTTGAATGTGACATGATAAAAACATAATACAAACATAAATGAATTCTTCTCCGAAAACTGGCAGTATCTGTACTGTCATGTCTGTTTGCAAAAGGACTAATGAAGTGTTTGTGCTTTGCCTGTTTCCCACTGTGACGCCCCACCCACGTCTTTCCCTCTTTTCTCTGCTGTGCTCTCCCTTTCTTTTTCCCCCCCTTCAGGCCTGAACACTGAGGGTTTGTATCGTGTAAGCGGCAACAAGTCGGAAATGGAAAGCATGCAGAAGCAGTTTGAACAGGGTGAGTTGCTCATCAGAGCTGTTTGAACCAACTGCTTCGTGTGTAATTATGTCGCCGGCTAGTCAAAACACAAACAGCGTTCTCAAAGGAAAGTGACAATCAGTTGCTGACGGCTGTTAGCGATGCAGTTATTTTCATGTGATCTGTTTTTAACGTGGTCCTTCTTCCTGTGCAGACCAYGGATTAGACCTGGTGGAGAAAGACTTCTCCATAAACACTGTGGCTGGAGCTCTTAAAAGCTTCTTCTCCGAGCTGCCTGAGCCCCTGGTGCCTTGTGCTCTGCAGGTGGACCTATTGGACGCTTTCAGTAAGCAAACACTGCTGGGCTGGGAGGGTCTGCGCTCAGAACATAAAACGATGCTTTCTTTTCAYGGAGGGGAGGGGAAGGTTTTAAGCTTTGCTTTTGTTTCATGTGTTTTTGGTGTGAAGTAGAGCAATTTTCCCCCGATGGTGCAGAGACAAATGTTAGCTTTGAATTGATTGAGTTGGATTACAAGGCTTTAGCGGTGACAGACGACACTGTGTGTGTGCAGAAATAATGGACAGAGAACAGAGGCTTTACACCATGAAGGATGTCCTGAGGAAGTTCCCCAAGGAGAATTATGATGTCTTCAAATATGTCGTGAGCCACTTACACAAGTGAGTTACCATCTTAAAGACAACCCCGTCTAGTTTGTTACATTAGACGTTATTTYATAAACACTCACTTCAACTGTAAAACAAAGACTGTAACAATACTGTAGGCTGTTTAGTTTTCAATAAATTTAAAAAAATATGGTGACAAAGGGTATATTTTCAGCATGTAAATTATGATGTTTACTAGGTTTTCCATGTGAAGCTGCGAGCGAGCGTTAACCAACCTGAAGGTTAATCTTGGACATTATCTGACGATCAGTCCTTTTAAAAGAAACCAGAGCACATTGACAGAAAAATGTAAGAATGACTCAGCTTGTAACTGAAGATGATGATGGAGGACAACAGAGCTGCTTCATGGAGGAAGAACCTCATCTTAGCTCATTAGCTTCTGCGAGAACAGTTTAAACATTTCTGCACATTTCTATGTAAATATCCATCTAATACAAACGTTACAGCAATGTAAAGATTTATTAAAAAAAGCAATAAAGTAAACTGTTAATACAGTAAAATCAAGTCTTATTAAGATGATATAAATCTGCTTGGAAACCAGGTCCAATCTGCAGCTGTTAGCTTAAGTTTCACAGAAGAACTACTTGATTCTTCAAAACTGGATTATACAGACTGCTATCCACTGCAGGTAATATACTGACTGCTGATAACGCTCCACAGAATCCCACTTCAAAAAATCTGACCTGTCCCATAAATAAAACAAGTACAATAATTGTTA